TCATTGGCTTGTTTAGTTAACACTCGAAGGTGATTGGGCTCTCGGGCGAGATCCCAATTCGTCAGTCACGACTGACGTAACGTCAAACGTGACTGACTGAAAGGGAACGTGGGGTTTGGGTTTTGTTTGGGTTTCATGTTCATTGCTCTCATGTCTTTTATTTTGGAGTGTAGTCATGGTCCCTGTCTAGTCATGTGATTCCCTTGCCCTCATGTTATCCTGCGATTGGTTCTTTGGTTAATGTGTCATGTTCTCATTGGTTGTGTTAGTCATGTGTCATGTCTCATGGTTGGTTCCTGTCATGTGACCCTTGTTGTTTGATATAAATAGCCCTCATGTTGCCATTGTCTCCTGTCGAGTATTGATGTTGTAACCTGCTGTCGGTGAGTCAAGTCTGTTCATGCCAAGTCTCTGTTTGGATTATGTTAGTATTTTGGATCACTTTTGGAATAAAGCTGCACTTGGGTTCTTAAACTTGCCTTGAGTGGACTGCTTGTTACAGTGTATATATTTCAGAAAAATATGTTATGTTTATATATTAAATAGATTTATTTATATAATATAAATTATATTAATATAAATATATACATGTAAATATTTTCAAAATATATACTGTATGTGTGTGTATTTATATATACATAATAAATATACACAGTACACACACATATATCATGTAAACAAAAACTTTTATTTTGGATGCGATTAATCGCGATTAATCGTTTGACAGCACTAATTATAATGCATTCATAATGTAGATTGTGATGCATTATATATTTTCTTCAATAATTATAGCCAATGTTATACTTACAAATTGATTTTTACATCTGAAATTGGTTGTCATCTGTTTTAATGCATTGTATTTTCTGTGTAAATAGGAATAGATAAGTATTATATTATAATTAATGCATTAAAATACTTTTGTAATGAATTAAATGTAAATGCTTCAAGTAAAGCCTTACCTAATTGTGTTCATATTTAACTGTTTTGAAAGGTCTCTGCTGCAGTATCTGACAATGTTTCGCAAAAAGAAGAAGAAGAGGCCAGAGATTTCAGCGCCGAAGAACTTCGAGCATCGCGTTCATACGTCGTTCGATGTGAAGCGAGGAGTCTTTGTCGGTCTTCCCACACAATGGCAGAGTTTAATAGAAAACCTCCGGAGACCCAAACCCATGGTGGACCCGTCCCGGATCACGCTGGTGGAGCTCAAACCAAAGAAGGTCAGAATTACATCAAATTATTGTGAAGAAATATCCTACAATAGCAGGATAGACCATTTCAGTTCACTTTCAGTCCACTTTGAGTTGATTGTAAACTGCATAGCAACAGCCTGGAAAACACCGTAAGCATGGACCGACTTCAGCATAAGCATACTTTGTCTTTCCCCAAATATTTTTGTGTTAATTGAGTAAATATTGCATACATATTGGATTTCAGTATATTCAAATAAATATATTATGCTGAGAAAACATAAACGAAAACTGCTTTGAGAAGCTTCAAAACCCTCTCAAAACCATTTAGCCAAAAAAAATGATGATAAACTAAATTGCTTCTCAGCATGTGAAGTTTTATTGTAACAACAATTTCACTGAACAATTTGTAAATACATCAACAACAGCATGTCTTTGCATTGCAAGATTAGGATCAGGTGCATTAAAGAAAAAATAGATAGAATAAAAAAAATTAAAGGTTGAGGGCTTTTCTTGTAAATGATATTCTTCTAATATAGCAAAAAGGTTTCATTGCATTTTTATTTTTCACCAACTTAAGGGCTGTAATAACATTTTCTTGTAAAACCTTCTTCAATAATCTTTGTTTAAAAAAAATCTTTTTTCACAGTGTAGCTGCAGGTAATTTACATTTCTTAGTATTTGTAACCCAAAAGGTCCTGTAAACTTAAAAATAAGTTGCTTTTCTATTTCTACGTTTTTTTTTTATTTAATGCTCTTCACTTTTTGTAGAATATTGTGCACTGATTAATTATTTACAATAAAAGATGAAATGGAAATGAGAATAAATTTAAATATTGTTTTTTTTTAATTTACAGTACTTAATTCATAGCACTTTAAAGTCACATGATGCATGAAATACATCAAATTGCTTTTGTTACAATTTTATTGAACAATTTGTAGAAACCGCTTGGCAACAGCATGTTTTTTGCATTAGTAGTGTATGTTCAAGTGAAAAAAAAAGAATAAAAAAATAAAATTAAAGGGCTAGGACTTTTGTTGTAAATTATATTCCTGTATTATAGCAAAACGTTTTAATGCATTTTTATTTTTCACCAGCTTTTACCAGCATTTCTTGAAAAAGTACTTCAATAATCTTTGTTTACAACTTTAAAAAAATAAAATAAAATGTTCACACCCTAGTTTCAAGTAGTTCACACTTCTTAATATTTGTCACTCCAAAGGTCCCATAAACTAAAAAAATTGTTGCTTTTTTATTTTCGTTTATTTGATGCTTTTCACTTTTTGTAGAATAACAAAAATAGGAAAAAATAGATTAAAGACAAAAATAGAGAAAATAAATCAAATGAAAGGGCTAGGGCTTTTCTTGTAAATTATATTCTTCTATTATAGAACCGTAAGGGCTGACGTTGTATTTTCTTGTATTATTTTCTAGTAAAATGTACTTGTATTTTTTTTATGTACAACTTTGAAAAATCGATTTCAAGTAATTCACATTTCTTAATATTTGTGACTCAAAAGGTCCCGTAAACTGGAAAACATGTCGTTGTTTTTTCCAGCGTCTCTCATGCTGATTCTTGACTCATTATTACGATTATAGCAGCACGTTTATTCTCCACAGCCTCCTCAATGTGTCAGCAAAGCAGCTGCGCTGGTCCAGTTCTGGCTTTGGCCTGACCCGGGACAGAGAATACGGCTTTTAATCTCAGTCCTTGATGTTCCAGGCGTTTCTCTCCGAGGGCCGCTCCTGAACGGCACTCAGAAACACATGTTTTTTCCTCTGTCACATTGGCTTCTTATCTATCACGGGCCTGCTGTGAACACTGATTCAGAGCGCTGAATCCTCGGAGGGCCGAGAGATTTATTACCTCACGCTGGCAATTAATTTCATTTTTCATGAGTTAATCATGAGTCTCAATTTTCATGAGTTAATGCATGGGTTTACTTAAAGCTGACTTTATTTTGCATAATATTGAAACAAATATTAAAGGTTTAGTTTTTTTTTTTTTTTAGACAATATGTTGTATGTTTAGTACATGTTCAAACGTATTTATACTCCGACACAGAACCATATTTTATTATATGCATATTATGAAGTGTATTATTGAATATAAAATGACATACAATATGAGAAGTAAATACAGTATGTTTTCACATATTTTTCAATATATGAAAAGTGACAATTGCTTATGTATTATTCAATATATTGTTATATATTAACAGAATATATTATTCTGTATATTAAACTTATGAGGAGATATATTTTCTTTGTGTATCGGTAAGCATTGTGCGCTCCCTCCTCGGTTCGAACATACATTTTATTTAATTTATTGGGTCGTTTTCATACAGTATTTATTGCTCTTAACATGTTTTAGAATAACATGCACTGATGAATTATTCACAATAAGAACAGAAGAATATGTGCTATTTAATAAACAACCAAAAAGTCTAAACAATGTTCTAATAATATTTTATATTATTATAAAATTTATAAACAATATAAATGAAGGCTGCATAAATGGCATCATCCATAATTAACAAAACAGGCTCTTTGTTAAAAAGGTTTTACTTTATAACAATCAAATATCAGTAAACAAAACAAACATTTTGCTCACTTTCTTTTTTTATTATAAGGAAAAAATACAACAAAACAGAAACAATTGTAAATAACAATTAAACGGCAATAAACAAAAACAAACAAAATATAGATAATATTGGAATAATATTTTATATTATGAATGATATATTTACATTTTAGTATAAATAAATATGTACATTTTATATTAATAAAAATTTTATAAAAATATACATTCATATCAGTTGTAAATGAAGGCGACATAAATATCATCATCAATAATTAACAAAACAGCCTCTGTTTAAAAAATAAGTTTTTACTTTGCTTTGTCCATCAGGCCATTTTTCTCTCTTCTCTTTCTTTTTTATTATAAAGAAAAAACTAAAAACAAAAGCAATCATAAATAACAATTAAATACCAATAAACAAAAATATATAAATAACGTAAAAATATTTTGTATTATTATAAATAATTTATTTTATAGTATAATAAATAAATAAATAGATGCCGTTTATATTATTATAAATAATAATAATAAAGCTACATACAGGTGACATAAATGGCATCATCAAAAATTAACAAAACAGCATCTTTGTTTAAAAAAAAAAAAAAGGTTTTTATTTTGTCCAATTGCAGAAATGGCATTTTTCTCTCTTCTCTTTTTTATTATAAAGAAAAAATTTAAAACAAACAAAAGCAATCATAAGTAACAATTAAACCCCAATAAACAAAAAAAAAACATTGTAGAAATATTTGTATTATTTTGAACAATATATTTTATATTATAATAAATAAATAAATATATAGATATTAGGGATGTGCATCTCCATGACTGAGGCCGATACGATACGCATCTCGATGCATAGCCTACGGTACGATACATTAAAGATACAGCAGCTACCGATGCGATACGATCCGATTCACCCCTGTTACGATGCAGTGCGATCCGATTTCGATTCGATTTGATTCAACATAATGCGATTCGATGCAATATGATGCAATGGAGAAAATATGATCT